GAAAAAAAGTTCAAAGAGTTATTTATTATACACATCAAGGGCTCCTTCTAATATTATGATTGTTGTTGTTGTTCAGTGCCGCCGAGTCGGTTCTGACCCATAGCGACTCTGTACAGGGTTTCCGAGGGTGTAAATCCTTACGGGAGTAAAAAGCCTCATCTCTCCCGCGGAGCGGCTGGTAGTTTCGAACCGCTGGCTTTCAGGTTCGCAGTCGGATTTGTAACCACTATGCTACCAGAGCTCCTTAATCAGAAAAAATAGAAATAATTAAAAACTCAACTTTTGATGAAAATTTTATTTTCACGTTATCTTTTAACATGTTATGTTCTGTCATACTGTGAGTTGTGTGAAGGAAGGCAACATTTGTTTTCTCAATTTTCTAGTTGCCTGTGAGAATATTTGTTAATATTGAATTTGTCTAGTAAATGATTGTACTCTCAATCTAACACATTCCTTGAAAGCTAAGGTGTATAGTAGAAACATCACTTATGTATTATCCCCCAAAATAAATAACTTTAAATGAAAAATTACAATGCTTGAATGACCCATGGATACTGATAGCTCATTGATCGTTTCTAGAATAACTGTGTGTTTTAAGAGTTAAGCAGCCCTCATGCCAACTTCACTATTGGTGATTTTAATTAAGCTCACGCAGTAAAAACTATTGAACCTTGTCTGCCCATCAGGAAAAAGACCTTTCAGCTTTGTGGGAAGCAGAACATTTGGCATTGCTGTATTTTTACCCAGGAACCCAGAATTTTAAGTCATTGGCCTTTATACAAAATGAAAACAAATAGTTGGCGTGGAGTGGCAGAACCGTCTTGAGCTTTTGGGAGCTGATTCAAGGGTCTGCAGGCATAAAGCACAGCTAATGTGGCAAGAGAGTGCAGTTCTCCCTTATTCCCAGGCAGTTCTTCTGTGTTCTCCTGACACATGGGACCGTGGCCAGTACCTGCCCTGACCCTGCCTACAGCAAGTGGCACTCACTCTCTCCGTTCTACCTGACATTGGGGCACTGGGTATAGTGCTGCTGCTTCTGGAGGCACATGAACCTGCCCTGAACTACACAGACAGTTAACAGAGAACTAACTGCTTTTACATCTTCAGTCTCTCCCACACCTACCAGGAGACAGGTGGTGAGTGCTTGAGAATGTACCAGTACCCAATTGTCCATCAGCTATAAATACGACATCACAGCGTGTTGGAGAAACAGAACAATTTCAGCTTACACAAAGAACTAAGACAGAATGCCTTAAAAAAGTGATTGTAATACAGAGTTAGAAAATATAACTGCTAGACAAGGAATTTAGAAGAATACTAATTAGGCAACATCAACAGATTGAGAGAATGATGGAGAAAACTGCAGATATAATCAAGGAAAACATGGGCAAGACTACAGAAGAATTCAGGAAACAAACTGACAAATGGGGGGTGGGGGGAGGAAACAGGGAACCATATAAAAACAAATTAGAAAGCTAACAGATTAACACTGAGACTTCAGAAGCTGGTAATACACTGAAAGGGTAAAGAAGTAGAATTGAGCTTGAAGTAGAATTACTAAGCTTGAAGAAAAATCTCTCAATATTCACCTGCTAGAGGAATAGTCAGAATTTTTTTTTTTTTAATCTGAAGAAAGGCTAAGATTTATGTGGGAAACTATCAAGAGGAATAAATTACTTGTGATTGGGACTCAAGAACAGGAAGAGATAAAAAATTACATAGAGAATACTGTCCAAGAGTTGTTGAAAGAAAGCGTCCCCTAACATGAAAGATGAGAAGATAGCCATTCAAGAAGTTCAGTGCAGTCCAAACAGAACATCGCCCCCCCCACACACAAAACAAAACACCAAGACATATTATTAAAACTAACTTTTTAAAACTGAAGATCAGGAAAGAATCCTGAGAAAGTAGTTCAGGAAAAATAAAGTTACCCATAAAGAGATCTAATAAGATTGAGCTCTCATATCTTAGCAGAAACCATGCAGACAAGAAGACAATGGATTTGGCATATAAAACTGAAAGAAAAAAATTGTCCATCAATAAATTGTCCATCAAATATGATGGTGAAATTAGGTTACTTTTAGATAAACAGAAATTAAAACCAGACCTACCTTACAAAACTAGTTAAGTGATTTCTGTGGACAAAGAACAACCACCTGAGACTAACTGACATGACAGTATCACCTAGATGCAACCCAGATATGGAAGTATTCAAAGAAAAGCAGACCTATAAAACTGAAAATAAGAGACCAGAGATCTAGTTTCAACAACAGCAGAACCGTAAAGTAAAAACGGAATACGGTTGTTACAGAACTTCCAGAAACGGAGAGGAAATCAGGTAGACATCAATAAATCAGTAAAATGAATCTAACTAATGTACCCTATAAACGAGACCAACTTTTACCTCTAATCTTCATTTCAAAGGGTCGTTTTATGGAACAGAAAAAAAGGAACTAAAATAATCCTCAGTTTGAGAAGAAAAAAAGGTGAACTGATTTGCCTTACCAGTTAGCAAGACTTGATTTTAAAGCTAATCAAACATTATGATGTTACACAAATATGAACAGGGACATATCTGTGTGACAGATTAAACAATGGAGAGACAGACCTGTTTGTAAGTATATAAATACTTGGCAGTTCACAAAGGTGGCATTGAAGATCAATAAGAAAACAAGGAAATTTAATTTGGATGTTTATTTATATAATAATAGGGAAAAATTAAATCAATGCCTGCCATGTACAGAAAAATCATTTCCATGAATGACCACCCATTTAAAACGGTAAGTGGAAGGGCCAGTTTTGGAAAAACACACACCCTAAGGTACAATTTCCAGACATTCTTCGAATATGGAAAACTGTGTTCAGTAATAAGAATATAAAGAAGTGCAAGGAAACTGTGAACGTTGAAGTTAGAATTGTATCACGAGATGTTGGGGGTAATGTGTACGGTACAGAGGGGTTTACAAACATAACTTTTGTTTAAGCTGCATGGAAATGACTATGTATATTAAAAGTCCTTTGTAACACATTCCATAATAATTTACAGTATAAAGGTAAATTGAGTTGTTTTTATCCCCCATAATGGTTGCCTCATTCATAGGCTGGCCAGGCAAGCACAGATAATGACCGAGTTATTCAATCCCTTTTCTCTGTTTCCTTATTTGTAAATGGGAATAATTACTTGATAATATTGTTGTAAAGATTCTGAGTTAATAGTTGGTATTGAGTGGCCTCTGGACTCATGGCGACTCCATGTATATCAGAGTGAGCTTTGTTCCATTGGGTTTTCAATAGCTGATTTCTAAGCAATAGATTGCCAGGACTTTATTTCAGGGTACCTCGGGATGGACTTGACCCCATAGATTTTGGATTAATACCTGAGCCTGTTAGCCATTTGGACTCTTCAGAGACTAATGTGTGTGTTGTTGTTGTGGTTATGCGCCATTGAGTCGGTTCAGACTCATAGCAACCCTACATATGGTTTCCAAGGAGTGGCTTGCAACTTTGAACTAACAACCTCATGGTTCAAACCAGCCTTGCTGTACAGTGCATATCCTACAGCACCTCACCAGGACTCCAACCTGTATATAGTTCTTAGTATAATATGTGGGATCAGTTCTGGGTTTTGTGGATGAATCTTAAAACTCATACAGGCATTCATTTTTCTGGTTTTAATTTTTGGAATCATTTTATTTTTGTTGTTGAGAATGTACATTATAGAACTTACAGCAATTCATCCATTTCTCCATGTATAGTTCCGTGACGCTGATCTGAAAGTACTCAACGTGTGCAACCATTCTCGCCCTCATCTTCTGAGCTCTTTCTTTCCTTCCCCAGTCTAGTTTTAGTTTTTTTTCTATAATGCTGTCCTTTTTTTTTTTTTGCTCCTTACCTCCCTTTCTTTCAAGCCTTAGAATTTGTTCCTCTGTATTACTTTCTTCCCAATGTTTTCAAACAACATAAAAAAACAAGAATTCAGATTGGTTCGTTTTTCCTTATCAGATTGCTATTTAAATTGAATTTATGGCAGAAGAGGTATCTTAGGACCCCTTGAAACCAAAGAAGTCTGCATTCAAAAAACAAAAACTTTTGATCCTTAATTATACTCATCTGGTAATCAAAGGTTTTGCAATTCTTTTTTTTGTTGTTGTTTTAATGGTGTTACAGTTTAATATGCAAGGATAACAGATTACTTTATTTGTAATGGGAAATTCTTTTTACAAATGGCAGTGTAGCATTAGCCCTGGACAGCAAACCACAAGGTCAGCAGTTGAAATCCACCAGCTGCTCCTCAGAAACACTGTGCAGGTTGCTATGAGTCAGAACTGACTGGAAGGCACTTAACAGCAACAACAACAACAACAACATTGAATTGATATAAGTTTAGCATTTCTTGAGTACTTGTAATATCAAGTCTTTCGATCTTCATCTGAATAGCCCAATAGACACTTTTGGCTTTAAAGTTGAACTTTAGTACAACATCACAACTCGTCTTCAGAGAGCTGTAGCTTTTCTTGACTGCTGAATGAAGAAAGTTTTATTGGGTTTATTTTTTTGTACACTTTAAATGGCAGCTAATACTTTTCTGTTGAAAATGTAGCAGATTTATAGACAATGAAAGAATCTAATCTGAAAACAACAGTAGAAAAAATTTCTCCAATGGGTATCACAACATTTTAAAATATAATGTTAAACGAACTGAAGTATGAGTACCTGGTAGGTTCATTTATCCTGGCTCACTTTCAGAGTCGTTGGTGTGTGTAGAATACAAGGGGGCTTTAAAAAGTTCCTGGAAAACTGGAATTGGAAGGAACGGAATTTTTCCAGGAGCTTTTTGAAGCCCCTTCACATGTAGGCAGGAAATGTTGCAGGACCTTGTGACCCACATTCACATGGGAGCGCCTGCCCTCCCTTGCTGTTGGCCCAGCTATTGTTCATGGTGTGGACTGTTGTCTCATGTGATGTTGATTTTGAAACACTGTTTGTGCTGTGTCCTCCAGGTCGGATTCGTACGAGACGGCAGAGCTCTGGGAGCACCACCAGTGTTGCCTCTACGCCTTCTGACAATCGCGGCCGCAGTCGTGCTAAAGTGGTGTCTCAGTCCCAGCGTAAGAAGTATAGCTTATGTTCTCTGTTATCACTGTTTCAGTCAACAGACCCATCTGTGGTTGAAAAGTTTACAAGATCACCCTTACTCACTGTTCTCAAAAGTATTTATATATAAATTGTACCTTAACTTAAGGGGGGAAATGCAATTTTATGGCTCTAAAGTAATGTGAGTAATCCTGATGTTTATGAATAAGCTTACAAAATTGAGTGTTCCATGTTCTCTTAGTTACCAATTGCAAAGATAACTTTATTTTCTCTTAGTTAGATGTTGAAACCCAGGTCCTGGTTCTAGGGGAAGACTTTTTCTCTGTGTTGGCTTTGGGGAAAGGTCCTTGTCTCTTTGACCTTTTTGTTGGTGCCTTGGAGATCAGTGGCTTGACATCAGTCATCCACCATCTGTCTTTGTTTACTTGCTTTTAAATATCTTTTATATGTCTATAGAGATTTACTCAAGGTAACACCTTATACTAATTCCACCTCACTGACATAAAAAAGATAGCATATTCCCAAATGGGATTGTAAGCATAGGCATAGAGATCAGGATTTACAGCACAAGCTTTTAGGGAGCACAGTTCAACCCTTAACACATGTCTAGAGATGTTTTCTTTACACATGATTCTAATTTTGTACCATTAGGCATTGAACATAAAAGTAGAGTAACTCTGCTTATCCTCAAGCCTCAAATTGAGACATATCTGGAATATGACCCATTTTCTATTGTTAGGAATCCTTCTGGCATAATTTAAGAACTGTACCAAGGGAGATAAAACTATTAATATTAAATTCTGTTTCCGGTGATGATAAAAAAATCCATTTAAAGCCCCCTCCCTTTTTTTTTCCTTGTGAATTGAGTAAAGGTTAGCAGACAAGATCATTAGCTTTATTTTCAGCCAATCATGTGCTTTGTTTCATCTCAATGCTTTCAATTCCCTCCCTGCAACAGCAGTTATCCTGCGTCTATCTTGTGGCTTCCCTTTTAGAACTTGTTTTTCACAAATCAACAAAGCAAAATTATTTGATGTACACACATGAAACCAAAAAATACATATTCGTTTAAACATCCAAAGGGCACATTCTGCAAATCAAGCCTCCTGCCCACAACAGCTCCGTCTCTCCATGCCACCATCTCTGCTATCACCGCTTTCTAGGTAGGGATTTCATGCTCTTCCTTCTTGGTGCTTCTGGGATCCTCTGTTCCTAAAATGAAAGATTAACTATTCCCCACTTTAGGTACATATCTTCTGCAATTACAGTTGTGACAGTTGCAATGAATCTGGTTAACAGTTACTCATAATTGAATCATAAAATCCTATCAGCATCACCCCCCACCCCATTTTACCAGATCCACGGAAAAGAGGAAAACTATCCAGTGGGGTTTCTACCTTAGCCCCGATTCTGAAACTAAGCTCACTCATGAAAGCTTATAAACCAGCCACTTGGTGACTTTATAGCCTTCCCCACCAGTTTTTTTTTTTTTTAATCACAATGTCTAAATTGCCCGTCCCTATCAACCCATAAAGCCCTTCCTTTTTAACTCTTTGTCCTAACATTTGCAACCTGCTCTTCTTTTCTTTTCAATGTGGGCTTTTTTACTTTTCCCAGCTGCGTTGATTTCCATTATTGCTTTTCTGTCTGTGTTAAGTCAGTTGAATGGTTTATTAGCATCAACCCTAAAAGCAGCCGTTTTGTTGTTGTTGTTAAGTACCGTTGAGTTGCTTTCAACTCATAGTGACCCTGTATAGGTTTTCAAGGAGCAGCTGGTGAGTTTGAATTGCCAACTTTGTGGTTCAAATCTACCTTGTTGTCCAGTGCTTATCCTGTAGCTGGGATGAATTTATTTCAGTCCCTTTTAGACAGCAACCCTTAAGTTTTGCATTCCATGTTCTCTCTGCATGTAGAGTGGAGCTGGCTCTAAGAGTCCTCCCCTTTCCTGGAGCTGCTGAGTCCCCTCAGGCTCCTCCACACAGTTCTCTTCAGCTGGTCGGTGCTTGCAGCCACACCTTACATTTCTCTTAGTATCTGGAACACCTTTTGTACTTCTTTCTGAAGTTCCATACTTTTCATGTCTCTTTAATAACTGTAGTTCTCATCTTTAAAAAACTCATGTCCTTTCTGGAAAGAAAGGGGAAGGTGGTTCAGATGTTGCCATATAGGGGGAGGGGGAGTTAAGGAAAGGAATGAAGGATATAAGTTAAGATAGACGGAGTTTATTTTAGACCAACTTTTCACTATTTCCTGTAAAACTCGCCTGGATTTCTCTCAGATTCTCTGTGCAAATGTAGTCCCAAATTTACCTTGGTAGCAACACGCTAGCTCTGGATATGCTGTAGGACTCTAGTGATGCCAAAAGTCAGTAACATTTAGTACAGCCATAACCTTGGGAATATTGTGGGTTTGGGTCCAGACCATCGCAAAAAAGCGAACGTGGATTTCTTTGTGTTTCCAGTGCATATGAAAGTTAATTTTACACTTTACTGTTGTCTATTAAGTATTTAATAGCATTATGAAAAAGTTTGAATTATTTGAGAATTACCAAAATGTGACAGAGACATGAAGTGAGCACATAGTGCTGGGAAAGTACGGTTTCAGTAGACTTGCTTGAGGCAGGGTTGCTATAATCATTCAATTTATAAAAAATACAAAGTGTTAATCTGCCAAGCACAATAAAATGAGGTATACCTGTCCTCTGGTCAGGACCTCTAAGGATGAATCCAATCTTATTTCAAAGAAAAAATGCTCACTCCTAGGCATATAGGTCAGTGCTCATTCTCTCCTTGGAGAATGAGGGTCAAAAGTGTTGTACATTTATGTCTCCAGTCTTGGCATTGCCATCAGTGGGGCTGTGCTCTCTGTCCCTCACTAGGTTAGTGCTATGCTAACCTATCTCTTTGTATTTGCAGGGTTGCAAATTATAAATGTTACTTCTGCATGGAAGGTGGTGAAGATTATCTATTCTATTTTTTATACTAGGGGCTTAGGGTAGTGGTATAACTTTAACTCTACAGACTTACGGAAAGAATGCCCCTGGCTTTGGGACTTCACTTTAATACCTTTTGATAATTACACTGCTTACTGAATTACAGTTACAGATAGGAAGACTGATCATTAATGATCATTAAGACTGGACCATAAATAAGCCTAGGCATATAAATTGAATATGTTTAAAAATTATTAACAGTTGAATAGAAGCTTATTTGTATTTTACAAATGTAGATATACTAGAATTCTTAGTCTTAATTTAATAGTAAGTAGATTTCACTAGTATTAGTTTTAGGATACTTAGCAGTGGGCATATGAATGTACTTCCAAAAGTTGGTGAAAAAAATTCCATGTTTCCATGGACTTTCTGAAGCCCCTCATATTTCAGATGTTTGCAGTTGGAGGGGAGTCATAGGCTATCAGGTGGAACTAGTTAATAACAAGTGATATTTATTGAGCACTCACTGTGTCTTCTGGTGGCAGTGATACACTGATGACTGAAATACAGTTGCTTCCCTCAGTTGGTCAGAGCTGGAAAGTAGACTTGCTCCACGAGGGCGCTTGTCCTTCGTCTTTTCTCCTAAGCCTGGTGCTGTGCCTGACACATTGCAGGTTCTTATTAAGTGTTTCCTAAACAGATCTGGAATACTAAGGGCTTCAAAAAGTCTGTAGAAAATTTCTGCGGTCTTTGGATTCCATTTTTCCACAAACTTTTTGAATCCCCCTCAGAAATAACTAATGTAGCGTGATGAATACAAAATCGATTTCAGTACAAAAGAGTAATAAGAAGAACCAGTCCTAGAATGTGTGTTCTGTTGATGTGTTTGTGTTGTGCTGCATGCTGACCGTCTCTTCTGCATTGTCTTATTGTCTTTTAATCCACTTTTTGCCTGTCTTTCGTCTGCTCTCATAATCAAGGATCCAGATCTGCTAATCCTGCTGGTGGTAAGACATCCCTCTTCTTGCTTTTTTTTTTTTTTTTTGCATACTCCCTGCACAATATTAATTTTTTTCTTAGTTATGAGCTTAGGTGACCTTTCTATACTTTTCCTGTATGTTCAAATTCTAGCTTTTGAAAGGATTTTTTTCCTCCCTTTTGCTACTGTATAGCAAAATTAGTAGTTCCTGAGACATGACACATTCTTCATGGTAATGTATATTGGAGGTTGTTTTCAAAGAGTTCACTTTAGACTATAATAAAATTATAACATGAATTTTTGTGAACAGTCTTCTGAGTAATTGATTTGAATGGTGGTACTTTTTTCTATCGTATGTATGCATGTATCTGTCCATCCATCCATCCATCCTTTCCAGGTAAGAATTCTTTTAAAGGCTTGTTGGGTTTTTTTCCTTCCTTTGAGTGAGTTTGTTACAGCACAGAAAAATGCATACATTCCATTTTATGATATTGCCTCTACTTAGGTAGATCTCATCTATGAAAGTAAATGACTACGTTCTCATTTATTGCTAAAATACTTAAAATTGTTGTTTTCTCTGAGGTGGAATTTTGTCACACAAGAAAATGGTTTTATAGATATGCTAGCATCTTAGGCAATAATAAAAAATTCAAGCCATATTTTTTGTTAATTTTATAATTTCAGTGCATACTGAACAGGGAATGTGCTCTATGATTTCTGCTATTGTAGATTTCTTCTAAGTTTATTAGAGTCAGTTTTTATAAATTTATGTGAAAAATGAAAAGAATATGTGTTCTGTTTATTAGGATATGTACATATTTGCATTTTATATATTCAGTTTTGAGATTTTGTTTGCTTAATCTAAGTTTCTGCAAGGTACATTAGCCTTTGATTACTCATTAGTCTTTCTGTGAAAGTATGTAAGTAATTGTGGCTTTAAAAACTTCTTCTGTATATTTATTTTTTCTAGTTTTTGTTATTTTAAAACTGTGATTTGGAGCATAAAGATTCATGATTATACATGGTCATGGATATTTATTTTCATCACTATGAAATATTCTTTTATCCTTTTAAGTGCTTTAAAATTTTTTTTTTTTTTTTTAATTTTAGTCTAGGTGTGTTGTTTCCCTCTTACAACAACATGTGTCCTGAATGTGACTTCTTGCTTTTAAATGAGTCCAAAATGTCATCTTTTTGTAGATAAATTTAATCTAGCATTAATATGGTTACTGATACTTGGGCTTATGTGTCCCTTCTTACTGTGATTTTTATTTACCTTATTTCTAGATGTTTTCTCCCTCCTGCTCTTTTTCTTCCATTTATGAGATTAATGAAGTTTTGAGGACCCATTTTCCCCATCTAATGGTTACACGTCTACTCTTCCAGTAGTTAAACGTACATTTTCTGCCATAGCCACTCTTTTGTATAATATAAAAATAAAACAAAGTCATTTGAAGAGGTTTTCAGTTGAACAAGAAGGCTACGATTGATAACCAACCTGCCCTTTTGAATCAGAAAGCTATTCATCTTGTAGAACTCCCATCAGTAATTTTTCTTTTATGCTCCCACATGTTTTAAAAATAAATACTACCATCCATTTAAAAACTTTTTATGGAATTCTTTTTTTTTTTTTTTTATGTTGGTAGAGTGTATTTTATTCAATTAAAAAGAAAATCGATGAAGTTTGGAATACTAAACAAAATACTGAAAGCTCCTCCTACACTCCTCTGTGTCTCCCTTTTTTTTTAAATTTTTTTTAAGTTTTTTTGTGAATTATGTGGGTTTACATGGGAGAACATCAGTTTTACATTCATCCTATTGCATTTCATTTCATTGCAATGATTACAGTCCCCTCCATGCATCATCAAATAACCATAGGGTACACCCCACAGGTCCACCCCCAGCCGTCAAGCACACAGCTCCTCTCCCTCCCTGACTCCAGTGTCCCCAGTCTCTCTATCTCTCCACTTCATCGTCTCTGTCTCCATCCCTCACGTCACTGCCTCTCTGCATAGGGTCACACTCTCCGCTCTTCTCACTTGAAAGTCCCAGGGACCTCCACTTCTGAGCTGCAAAATCAATCACTCCCCTCCTTTTGTCAAAAAACATCTAACTCTACATTTCTGACCCTCACAGTCAGTCCTGATGGCAGTTATTCACTATTTACCACAAGAGTCTTATCCCCATTTCCTTTCACCAGCCCGGTCCCAACAGATTGGAAATCAGAGGTTCTACCTACCCCTTGCCCAGTCTGGAACTAGGCTCCCTCTTGAAAGCTTGTAAAGCCGTCACTTCTTGCCTTCCTAGCCCCTCCCCCCCCATTTTGGGTAGTCAGTGTCCAAGTTGCCCATCCCTGTCAACTCTGTGTACTAAGGGGGTGGGAGTGATCCTTGCTGTAAAGATTTTTTCCCTTTTTGAGCTATTACATCCATAAATATAGGTAAAGTTCATCAAATTGTAGTGGGTTACTTATATGGAATTCTTAATGTTTACTTTAAATTACTATGTAAACTGCTTTCTGAAATTATCATATTTTATGAGGGAGGTTTAAAAAGTTTGTGGGAAAATTCCATTATCTTTTCATTCCATTTCTTCATGAATTTTTTGCAGCCCTCGTGTATTCCATGATTTACATTTATTACTCATTTTTATTTTACTTGATTTTCAGCTGGCAGCCGGTCAAGTTCCCCAGGGAAATTACTGGGAAGTGGTTACAGTGGACTTTCTGGGGGGTCTTCAAGAGGCCCACCTGTGACACCCTGCTCAGAAAAACGAAGCAAGATTCCTAGGAGTCAGGGATGTAGCCGAGAAACAAGTCCAAACCGAATAGGATTAGGTAAGAATTCTCAAAGACCTTGTAATATCATTACCAGCTTGGTCACAGTTTTGATTGCATTCTGTTGACTGTGTTGAATATAGAAAATGGAGATTTATTTTTGAACTGAAGATGTTACTTTACCTCTGTCAAAAAGACATTTCCATTTTTATTTTACACGTATTATAGCATGTTGAGGTTGCAACCACAACTGCAAAATATGTGGGACTTGCTGTCTAAATCGATGAGAAGGAATCATGTCGCTGGAGACTTTCACGTTTTATAGTCCATTCCAGAATTGGGTAAATGGATAGGTTCCCCCAATAATTAGAAGCAGTGTTGCTTTTAATTTTCCTTTCGCTGTTACGTAATAGTTTTAACCTGTGTAAATTTCCAAAAACTCTTTTGTAGGATCCACATTTATCTTGGTTTTGATCTTCTTATATATGAATATACGTACTTATAGTTGTATATTTACTTTTGGCAGAATTTTGTTCAAACATGAAAGCAAAGAGTTGATTTATTTTTGCATCACAGGACTTAGTAATGGTGTATAGAATTATATGTATTCCTCTCAGCAGATACAAGATTCTTTATTGGATTTTAATTCATATAGAAGTTTTTTATAATATATTATGGAAAATCTATGCTTGTACTATTTCTCTTTATTACATCTTTATCTACTTTGTAAAAGTAAAAACCTGTTAGTGTTGGTGCTATAGGATAAGCACCAGCCTGTAAGGAGGGTTTGGAACACAAGGTTGGAGGTTCAAACCCTCCAGCTGTTCCCTGGAATCCCTATACAGGGTTGCTATGAGTCAGAACCGACTTGACAGCAATTAACAACAACAATATACTATCTTATGTTCTGTTAGTTTATCTTCCTCAACATTTATTTCAGAAAATTTTACTTGAATAATTTAGTTTATTCAGATATGCCAGACAGTTCATTAGAACCTGGAACTAGATCAGTGAAGAAGATTTAGCTTCTGCCTTCAAAGAGTTTGTGGTCCACAAGGGAGAGATGAAAATATAAGACAGTATGGCATTTACTATGTCATGGAACTCTGGAACCACAAGAAAGGAATGTTTTTTGTTCCCTTCCATTGGAGAAAGATGTGGCAGTCTGCTTCTTCCATTGGAAACTCTACGGGGCAGTTCTAGTGTTCCCTGTAGGGTTGCTATGGGTTGGAATCGACTTGATGGCAGTGGGTTTTTGTTTGTTTTTAGGCTCCTTTCTCACCACCCATCTCTCAGCTTCAATGTTAGGAGAGGCTTCTGTTTTAATGAAGTGATATTAACCAGTGGGACTCCAGGTGTGGTGCTGTAGGATCAGCACTGGACTGTAAACTACGAGGTTGGCTGTTCAAACCTATCAGCAGCTCCTTGGAAGCCCTATACTGGGTTGTAATGAGTCGGAACCGACTCAACAGCACTTAATAACAACAATGAACCAGTGTGGGCAAAGATGAGAAAGATTTTGTATGGAAGATGTGCAGAAGCAATCCATTGATTGGGGTACATAATGCATTTGGAAACCACAAGTGATTCAGTTGGCTAAGGCAAAGAAAGTATCAGAGTCAGGGTTAGGGATATAGGACAGAGAGAGACTGGTAGGATCTAGCGAGCCCATATTTTTCAGAGGCAGACTATGGCATTAACCTTGAAATAAGGAATAAAGAAGTCCTAAAAGGAGGTGGTCATTGTAGGAGCAGTTATTTAAGAAATGGAAATGGAAAGAATTTGTTTTTAAGTAATATTTCTAAAGCAAGTAAAAATATAATCAAGCAGTGGTTTTGTTGACTCTTCATAAGCCCCGCTTTCTATTGGCATTGTGTAATATGCCCCTGAGTTGGATGTGAGAATGTCGATGTGATGGCTAGTGTATCTAAATTTTGTATTTTAGATTTGAAGCTTTATTTATTTTTTGAAAATGCATTTGATTTCAAATCTTGGGCATGAGATTTCAACTATTTATGAAATTTCAGTTAATTGTTTAAGTGTATTGTTGTTGTTGTTGTTGTGAAGTGCCATCGAGTCGGTTCCGACCCATAGCGACCCTGTACAGGGTTTCCAAGGGTGTAAATCTTTACAGGAATAGAAAGCCTCATCTTTCTCCCACGGAGCAGCTGGTAGTTTCGAACTGCTGACCTTAAGGTTCGCAGCCCGATTCATAACCACTACGCTACCAGAGCTCCTTAAATCCATGTTTTTAAAAATGCTTTTCTTTTTAGGAAGTTTGTTTTATTTATTAAGATTCCTTTTTACCTTCTTGAATTTGAGAACTACCTTGATTGTCTATTCTACTTCTAAGATCTGGTATTCATAGTTTGGGCCTGCAAACAACAAAGTTTCTGGTTCTAGCCTCCTAGCTGTAGGAGGCTTTCTGCTCCCTTAAAGGTTTAAAGTCTCAGAAATCCTAGACAGTGTTGGCACTTATCAACAACAGCTATGCAGTTTGTGTTTTGTGTTGCAATTAAAAACAGCCTTTTATAGACTTTTAAAGAGAAGATGCTATGAATCATCTCTAAGAAAAGAACAGCCTATTTCCTTCCAAAGAATTTTTTATTGGCGCATTGTTTTTTAGAGAAAGTTATTTCTTTAATGGAGTTTTGGTGTGCTATAGGATAAGCACTGGAGCGCAGAGTTGGTTTGAACAAAGTTGGTGGTTCAAACTCACCAGCCTCCCTTTGGAAACTCCATATAGGGTCGCCGTGACAAACTCCATACAGGGTCACCATGAGCCAGAACCGACTTGATAGTACTCAACAATAAGACTTAGGCAGAGAGAATTATATGAATAAAATGTCCACCACACCTTATTCATTTTTGTGGTACTGCTTTGAGATTTAATTTTATTTGCTGTTGAGTTGGTTTTTAGTCACAGCAACTCTGTATAGTAGGGTATCTGAGGAGTACCTGGTGAGTTTGAACTTTTGCAGTTCAAATGACCTTGCAGTCCAATATTTACCCTACCACACCACACCAGGACTCCCTTAATTTATACTGTTGTTCTTGTAAAGTGCCGTTGAGTTGGTTCCGACCCATAACGAACCTGTACAAGGTTTCCGAGGAGAGGCTGGTGACTTGAACCACCAACCTTGCAGTTCAAACTGACGTAGCAGTCTAGTGCATCAATCTACAGGACTCCCCTTGTTTATGTAGGGTGTCTTATATATTAACTTTTTTTTTTTAAGTCAAAGGTTGTATGAAATCATTTAGTACACTTTGGGCATATGACTATATATCCAGATACTCAGTTAATTGAACAGAACGTTTAAAAATAATATTGAAAACAAAAGGGAGCATTTTTAAAGAATACTTTCTATGCACTCCAACAGTTTCACTGATAAGTTAGCTAGATTCAGGATTTGTACTGAGAATAATTTTGTTTATTCAACTTTATATTTTGTTCAGCTATGCTTTTTTTGTTTTGTTTGAAATTATTTTTCTTCCTCCTTTGTAATTAAAAATGGTGCCAAGGTTTTTCTTACTTAGCATTTAAGATTTCTTAAACTAGATAGGATGACCTAGAAACAAAATCAAACCTAGCCATACCTTTTTTTTTTTTGGAAGTTCATTACCTCATAAACTTGCCAACCAAATGTATAAAATAGTTTGTAATTTGTTTCATTTGTGGGGTATTATTTTGTTTTTGACAGGTAACAGAACAATTAAATAGCAAACACTTAAAGCAGTTGTATTTAGCTCATTCCTTTAACATTGCCTTTTGTTCCCGTCTGTTTTCAAGATTAAAATATTTCTAAAGATTTAGTAATATTTAATTAATAATATTCCATTTCAGCTGTGAAAATTAAGACGACCATGTGTAAGAGAAAGATACAAAATGTCTAGATAGATGTTTTATATCTTTAACGTCTAGTAAGTTTATTAAATCTATGCGTCTGGTCTAACATGTGTTTCAGTAGATCAGGTTACCAAATTCTTCCCTAAAAGGTAAAAGTCAGGATTAACATTAAAACACTATAAAAGTTTAACAGGAAATAAAAACCATCAGATGATTTTTCTGGCCTACTAGCATTTCATGTAAGCATGACTCAGGATCTACCTAGGAATTTTGCTTTTAGATCAATTGGCTTATATGAGAGGGCTTGACAAAGCTTCTGGGGAAATTCTGTTTTTTGAAGTCCCCTATATTTTTGTCGTTTCTTCCTCTTCTATTATGCCTTGCCCTTCATAATGTATTATTAAATAGGATGTTTGGTTTTAGCATTTAATACAGATAAGGTAACATTAATTTATTGTTTTTCAATTTTGCCTGCCTCATTAATTCCAATCCAAACCCAAATCTGTTGCCATCACGTCGATTCAGACTCATAGCAACCCTGTGGTATAAACTAGAACTGCCCACAGGGTTCCCAAGGTTGTGTCTGTCTGTTGTTTTAAATAATTACTACGTGTGAGGCATCTGCACATTAACATGAAAGGCCACAGTCTGGGACAGACTACCACATCTTTCTCCCAAGGGATCACTGGTGGGTTTGAACCACCAACTTTTCTGTTTGCAGCCAAATACTTAACCACTGTGCCACCAGGGCACCCGTTATCTCATTAGTTGGCCTTTGTGATAATTGTTTACCTATATACTTATTTTAAATCCTGTTTGTAGATTAGTCTCTAGAAGTAGTATTTTCCCTCTTGTGTTCCAAATTTTTCCACATTTGAACTGTTGATATCACCACTTGATGGAGGTTTGGGGCAATCATGGGTAGAATTTCATAAAATTATAAAGTACAATGATTATTTTTCTCTATGGTACATCTATCTAGATTAAAGGAGCCAGTCAGCATGAATGGGTGAACAATCTGTGGTAAAAACCAGAAGGGTAAAAAATCTACAGATTTATGTACGTTGTAACCTTTGATCATATCTGCCTATTCCTGTTTTGATTCTTTATTGTCTTCACAAAGCAGCACAGTCCAGAGAGAGCAGAGAGAACAAAGACTTCCTGTGGTTATAGCATATAGGGTATAGTTTCAGGAACTGGATAAAAATTCAGA